GAGATACACCTTGAAATTACAAAGTCCCTCCTGAGGAGTAGCAGCAGCCTCCTACCCCACCTGTAAGAGTCAGGCTTTCCATGAAAACTCTGTGGTCCTGCAGGAAAAAAAAATCATCAGCAAAACCACATGGTCAAGATATGCCCAGAAAGGGGAGAAAAGGACGAAGCTACACCTGAAGATGCAGGGCCTGAGATTTGCAAATACGACACTCACAGGAGGCATCTCATGAAGGAGCCAGTTTTCCAGAAGGCAAGACCCTCCTCCTCAATAATCCCCTTCCCCTCCACAGTCTCTGAAGTAAAACTGCCCCAAGCCATTCCACACGCACCAGATTCGCTCCCCAAAAATAGTTTCATCCTCAAATAGAGGATGAAAGGCGTGAATTCCAACCCGTGCAGCCAAAGTTTGATTTTCCCAAGAGCGGCAAACTCCCCCGGTTTCGGTGGACTCGGCTTTGCACTGATGTCCCTGAGATCAGAGGTGGGTCTCGGTGCCACGGAACAGTCCCCAAATTGTCCCTGGCACTGTGGGCATCCGGCTGCTTTTGGTCCTGTCAAAACTTCCACCTCAGCAGCACCAGCTCCACAAAACCTGGGACAGCAGGAGGCTGGAAAGGCTTTCATGGAGGGAGGCGGGGGTTTGTCATCTCTCCTTTGAAGAGGCAGAGCAGCAGTCAGGTATTCCAGCCTGGCTTTTACAAACGGAGCCATGCGAGGAGTTATAAGGGGAGGGAGCTTTTAATCTCAGAGCCAGCTACAAATCGAAGGTGAACCTCATTAACTTGGACACTTTGTGTGTTAAAAAATGAGGAGCGTTTCACCTAATGAGAAGCTCTTAATAGGTGTTGTTTTTTTGCTAAATTATCATATTAACCAGGAGATAATTAACAAGAGTTTTCTTAATGTGGTGCTCCACTGATAAAATCTCATTGTCTATAAATCATCAAGACACTACAAAAAGAAAAAACACCCAAAATTGCTTTTTAATTATGTTAGGCATTATGGACAAAAAGTACAGGACAATTTTAACTGTTGGGGAACTAGAAGGGAAGGACAAGAATCTCAACTCTGCTGGGGGCAAGCATAGGGTCTCTTAAGGTAAATCAAGAATTTAGGGATGGTTTTTAAAACACTTTAGAGTAGTTACGAGCACTGACATATCACATATGTATCATATTAGGGATCAGACCCAGCCAGCACGAGTTTAGGAGGGACAGGTCCTGTCTGACCAACCTGATCTCCTTTTATGACCAGCTGACCCACCTGATGGATAAGGGGAAGGCTGTGGATGTGTCTGCCTGGACTTCAGCAAAGCCTTGGACACTGTCTCCCATGGGACACTCCTGGAAAAGGCTTGGCCAGGGACACTCTGGGCTGGGTTAGGAGCTGGCTGAGGGCCCAGAGAGTGGTGG